CCCCCGGCATGGGCTGGTCCAGATCCCAAGGGGGGTAAGGGTCTCCTCCAGCTGCTCAGAAGCAGCTCTTCCCTGCGGGAACTGGGGACACACTCTGTTTTTTGTGCTTTACATGGACCTTGCATCTTGTTGTCCAATTCCTCCAGACCACCTTTCTCTCCCCAAACCCAACGCGTTGCGCAGGGCAGCTCGTGATGATTTACGAGCCAAGCTGGGCTCGGGGAAGCTCGTATGGTTTGAGCTAATGAACCTCTCCCAGATCCAGCAAGGATGGTTCGGGGAGGGGGGGATGTCTGAGTACGTTGCTCAGAGGCAGCACTGAGCTGTTTTGCTCAGGCTTTTCCAAAAAAATGCCTCCTGGGACTGAGTTGCACTGTGGAAAATCCCACAGAGCTGGAGGAAGGCATGAGTCACCCGGCTGCTCGCTCACCTACGGCACACAAAACCCTGCCGATGCGTACCCAGGCTTTGGAAAAGCTTTTATTGAAAGCCCCGCGGCAATGCTGCGGGCAGCGGGGGTCACTTCTTGCGGGGCTGCTTGGTGGGGCCGTCCTTGAAGAACTCGTTGAAGCCCATGGTGATGCAGGCCAGGAAGCAGACGTACTCCTTAAAGTCCACCTCGCTGTCCTTGTTGTGGTCCAGGTCATTCACGAGCCTCTTAAACTCCACCTCGTCCATTTGTTTCTGCCAGGGGAGGGAGCACGGAGGGGGGGGTCAACGGTTTTGGGGTGCACGGATGAGCGAGGTGCTTCCCCATCCAACCCCTGCCTTGAAGGAGGGTTTTCTCTTTGCCTTTGGAAGGAGGTGGCCTGTAGAAACACAGGTGGCTTACCCGTGATCTGGGGCATGCTGGCGTGGCTACAGCAAATATCCCTCTTGGGCATAAAGACTAAAAAAATTCTCCTCCTTCCTCCCAATTTAAGCCACAAGCCAGAAAGGGGAAGTAGGGGGTTAAAAAAGTACTAAAAAAATTTAAATCGGAGCATGATTTTCTTTGCCAATCACAATATTTCTGGGGGCAGAAGAAAGCCAAGTTTCCTTTTGGTCTGAGGACGCTGCAGCTCAGGACCTTCTGGCCTCGTCCCTTCTCTCCAGGGCTTGCCCTGGAGCAGGAGGTCCCAGCGTGTCACACGTGGGCTGCATCCGCCGTGGGTGCTTTGGGGAAATTCAGAGACCACCTCGGCTCACCCCGGTTTGTACCGTGCTATGTGGAAAGACCCAAGGTTGGTGTGCTCCTGCCTTAATCCCCCTCCCGCCCGTGCCTGGGCACCTCGAAGGATGCGAAGGGATGTTCCCCGTGGCCACTTACGCTCCCAAAGACGGGCAGCTCCTTGTTCAGCAGCTCCTTGAGCTCTGCCTTGCTGAGTTTGTACTTGTCCCCTTCCTTCCCCGAGTACTTGTGGAAGGTGGTGACCATCACGGCCAGCGCCTGCTCCAGGGGACACGCCATCGCCAGCCTCCTGTGCCCCTGGAGGGCAGAGCACCGGGGATGGGGTCAGGGTAGGTGTTGGGCGGTGAGGGGGGGATCCGTTCCCCCCACCCTGCCCAAATCGGTCCGTGATGCTGCACAGGGATGGCTGCAACCCCGGCACCACTCGGGAAGGCATTTTGGGGTGCAGCGACTGCTGGGTGAATTGCGGTTGGGGAGCAAAGCTGTGCAAGGGGCGATGCGTGAGGAAGGGGAGCAGAGACTCACCGGGGTCAGCGCGGATCAGGCAGCAATGAGGAGCCAGGGTGCTGCAGCCAGAAGGCGATGGGCATTTATAGCCCGGCTGGCGCGGCACTGCCCCCCGTGCAGCCCCCTCGCCTCCAGGCTTTCCCAGCAGCTCCACGCAGGCAGTTTCGCCCACGCCTCATTTTTGCCTAACGAACTGTGTGATCCCATTAGTGGGTGATGGGTGGGTTTGGGTGCTACTGGAAGGAGCTACCGGCCCTACTGGGGAGTCTGGGGACCAAGGCACAAGTCAAGGGATGGGTACAGGGACTGGGAAGGGCTGGGGCGTCCCTTGGGGCTCCCCAGAGAAAGCTGGTCACCAGCCCACGTCTCCCCTAACCCATCACTGCACTGTCCCCCACGCTGCCAGCTTTCTGGGTGGTCCTGGTCTCCCCAAGACAGATGGTCCCAAGCACTCCCATCCCGGTGACCCCAATACAAGCAAACATGCTCCGCAGCGGGGCTGGGGAGGTGACAGCAGTTTTATTCGATCCGTGGGCTGGGGCTCGATGCTGGGTGGCAGGGCCATGAGCCTTTGCACAGAAGTCATTGCAGAGCATGCTGAGGCAGCCCAGGAGGACCACGGACTCCTCAAAGTCCATCATGTTGTCCTCCAGGTCCTTCAGCAGCACCCAGAAGCTGCACTCATCCAGTTGTTCCTGGCACAGAGCACCAGCGGAGTCAAGGACGGTGCTCGCTGGTTGCGGCACAGGTTGGCATCAACCACAACGGGTGGTTTCGGCAGATGGGGGGAACCTGTTTCAGGGAGGAGCGAGCCCTTCCCTGACCCCCCACATCTTCCCCAGTGGTGGGGAGGGACGTGAGGATGCTGGGGGGGCTCGGTCCCAGGTGTCCCCGTGCTCACCCCCATGAAGCTGGGCAGCTCCTTCAGCTCGCCCTTGCTCAGCTGGTACTTGTCACCCTCCTTCCCCGAGTGGTCACGGAAGGTGGCAGTGCTGGAGGCCAGGGCTTGCTCTAGGGTGGTGGCCATCCTGGCAGGAGGCTGCTCCCGAGGGAGCACTGGCACCAGGGAGGGCACCTGGCTTTTCCCTGAAAATCCCTGGTTACGTTTGCATTGCCACCCATCCGCCAGAGCCGGTTTGGTTTGGTTTGGAGGAGGGAGCCGGGGTAAATCCTCGTCTGGTGAAACCCAAGGTGGCCTTGAGCATCTCAAAGACGGCCAACCCCTCGGTCTCTGGTGATTGCAGAGGAAACGGGGCTTCCTTCTCCCAGAGGTTGGGCAGCTGGAGAGGAAACACCCATTCGGGGCATTTTCTGAAATCTTGCAAATCTTGCGGCTTATGGGACCCCAAGGCTGCTGCAGGGCCAGGGCTGGGTCAGCAGCTGGTGCCAGGTGCCCGGAGCCGGTTCCACCAGGGACGCAAGTAGCGGGGTGTTGCTCCCCTAAATTCGGGCCCAGCCGCAGAGCTT